TATTAGTCAGATTAAAAGATATCACTAGATATTTAAACAATCTCAGTGCAGTTCTAAAGACAGTCTTTTATTCATTCTCAGACTGTATTCACAGTTATGTATATATAAACTGGCCGCTGGAATCATGAATTTCACATTTGATCTCATTTGATCTGATCTCATACATTTCTTGGCGTGAATCCTGCTGGGACTGACTATCAAAAAAACAGGTAAAGTGACTATATATCAGATCTTAAAATGAAACCATGACTTGAAAAAAATGAGAAAGTGATCTCATTTGATCTCATTTAGTTTCATTCTTGGCATAAAGTTACTATTTTTAGACATTTTAAGGTTTTTTTTAGACTATTTTTAATTTTTTAAAAAGTAACACTTTTTGATAACACTCAAATGAGATTTAAAGTCATTTAAAGCAATAAAAATAATTTAAAATGAGAAGTGGAAATCATGGTCTCATTTGAAAAATGTGACAAGAGTAGACAGTAAGTCTCACTGAAACAGTATGAGACTACTATCTAATGTTAAAAGCGTGTAATGGAATCAGTCGAATTGGTAATGAGACTATCAAAAAATCTAGTCCTGGTTTCAGACACGGTCACACGGTCAGTCTATGTATATATATTGATTACATTCAGTTGTATGAATATGACAGCTTCTGTGAGACAGTTAATCACATTCTTGATCAGAGACAGAGAATAGTGACTCTTTATTATCTTAGAGTTCAGATTGCAGTAGTCTATATACAATCTGAAATCTTTATTCTTCTTCTTTATGAATATCACAGAGGCTTCTGCAGAGATCTGTGAAGATTGAATAAAGTTATTCTTCAGATTCTTCTTCATATAGATCTGTAAGATCTCTGTCTTATAATAAGAGAGCTTATAAATTGATCTTCAGAAGAGTTTCTATTCTTCTATCAAATCTATTATCAGATTCTTCTTATAGTGAGAGAGAAGCTCAGCTGCCTTTACTGAGCTGAATATCTCTATGAGATCTCAGTATTTCTCTGATATTTGAAGCTCAGTTTTTATGACTGTGAGATTCTCAGACACTTATAAAGTTATTATATAGATAAACTTGTCTTCTCTAATTAACTCTACAGTATCAACTGATTCTATCTTTGTAAGTAAGTCTGTTAACACTGATCAGAAGTATAAACCTGACTCATAGACAGTTATATATGAATTATGTCTTTAAAGTTATACAAGTTTTAAGTACATGTTATCTATGATATCTATGATAATCATAGTTTCTGCAAATCTTCTTCAGATTTCAGAGAGATCTTATAATTTAAAGATAACTCTTGTAAGTCTCTTAGCTCTCAGATCTGAGTTCTCATATTCTACTTATTATAAGAGCAGATTCTCAGTCTTCATCTTTCAGCTTATTCACTTCACAAGCTTTAGAGACATCATAGTAATCTGAGATTCTGAGTTTATCAATACTTCTCATACTTACAGAGTAGTAGTATCACAGCACAGTTTCTTTCTATGAGTAAGCATTTTCATTAGAGAAGTAACAGATTCAGATATCAGTTTTAAGACTCTTAAGAAGACTGTTACTGACTCTGTCTATAACTTCTCAAATTTCTATTTTAATTTATCTGAACAGTTTATGTGAAGATATTCTAATTTAGAATAGATAAAGTAGAGTCTCTTTTTCTTAATCTCTCTATTATATACTCTGTTTATAGAAGCTTGTGAGACTCTCTCTCTCTACTCAGCAGTCAGATATGAATCTCTCTGTATCTTATCATCTTTTTCTAGTAAATCTGTTCTCTATTATTCTGACTCTTACAGAGTTAGTCAGTGATTCACTCTTCATAGATCTATGACTCTCACAGTGATCTGTAAGTAATGAATAAGAGTTATCAGTTTCTTCAGAGTTAAGAACTTAGAGTTTTACTTAATAAGCTTATTCTGTATATCTTTATTCAGTCTCTTTATAAATATTATTATTCAGATCTTATTTCAGAGCTCTATTTTCACAGATCTCAATTCACATTATAATTTTATAAAGCACTGTGAGTAGTCTTTATCAGATTTCTTATCTCTTTTTCTAATATTAATAATCACAGCTCAGATATTCTCTGTCTGACTTATAAAGTTCTTTAACTTATTCTCTAGATAGATCTTGAGAACAGATCAGCAGAATCTCTCATAATTATTCTCTAGATAATTTAATCAGTTCTTGACTTCAGTATAATAGAGATCTGTTATTATATAGATAATAGCTTCTTCATCTTTTATATCACACAGACAGGCTTATGAGTCAATTTCAAATACAAACTTGTAAAAGCTTTTATAGATTGTGATTTAATAAGTAATCTTAAGTAATCATAGCTTAAGAAAGTTTCTTTTCAGTTCACAGATATCTCTGAAGATTATATCTAGAGACTCAGTTCAAGAGTGTTTATAGACAGTAAGCATTTCTTATAGAAAAATAGCTTGATTTTATAGAAGATACTCAAGAATATTCTTCACTAAGATTGATTTATTTATGAGTTCAGAGAGTTCCTCTGTCACAGATGTAGAGAATAATATTTTATAAGTAATTAATAAGTTCTCTGAGACTTCTTTTATAAGAGTTATTCATGATTTAGATGACTGCTTCTGAGTGTCTGCAGTAGAGTTTACAGAGATTAAAGTATATAAGTTTCTAGTTCTTTCAGTTATAACAGATAGTTACTGACTGACTGAGCTTGAAATATAAGAATAAGTGCTTACAGACAATTATTCAGATATTTACAGCTTGACATGATATGTACTGTTAACTACTAGAAGTATTCACAGTAGAAAGATAAAATGTAGAGATTAAATATATAATAGTATTCAAGCTGAGTTATGAATAGTATTTGTGAACTTCAGTCTATATAGTTATGTGTAGTCAAGGGCTGCTAGCTCTATTAGTTACATGAGAGATAGAAATAGAGGTAAAGAATCTGTGAGAAGCGGGATTTCTTACAATTACTTAAATATACAGATTGAATTTATTTTATTACTATAATTAATTAATAATTAATTCAAAATCAATTCAAAATCAATTCAAAATTAATTTAATACTGAAATTATTCTTGAATTTAATAATAATACTGAATTGATTATCAACTGATTTTCAATCAATTATTAATTACTTAAATATATAGATTAAATCTATTTTTATTACTATAATTAATTCAGAATTAATTCAGAATCAATTTAAAATCAATTATTAAATATTTTTATCTTAATATATTTTAAAATTCTGTAAAATATCTCTTTATATTCTATATGAATTTATCTATTCATTTAATTAATTATGAATCAGCTATACATGCTTTGATTGATTGATAAGCTGAATGAATAAAACTATGAGTGAATTGAAAGATTGAAAGTTAATTATCAACTGATTATTACTGTATTGTGCGAGGTCAGGGTCATGATTATGTAATAAGATCAAGTGACACACTTAATGAGATCAAGTTTTCTGCTTTCTGTGAAATTTTCGATAAAACATAACTATGTTATGCTTACTCACTCTCTGTAGTAAGTGTATCACAGTGTACAGAAAATCACACTGTAAAGAAAATATTTTGAATATAGTAATCTTCAAAAATTAATTAATAATCATCACTACATCTAGACTGGCCGCCGGGACCATGAATTTCACGTTTGATCTCATTTGGTCTGGTCTCATACATTTCTTAGCATGAATCCCGCTGAGACTAATCATTAAATAAACATGTAAAGTGACTATATATCAGATCTCAAAATGAAACCATGACTTGAAAAAAATGAGAAAGTGATCTCATTTAATTCCATTTAGTCTCATTCTTAGCATAAAGTTACTATTTTTAGACATTTTAAGGTTTTTTTTTGACTATTTTTAATTTTTTAAAAAGTAACACTTTTTGATAATACTCAAATGAGATTTAAAGTCATTTAAAGCAATAAAAATAATTTAAATTGAGAAGTGAAAATCATGGTCTCATTTGAAAAATGTGATAAGAGTAGACAGTAAGTCTCACTGAGACAGTATGAGACTACTATCTAATGTTAGAACTGTGTAATGATGTAACGTGGCGAAACTGAAGCAGTGACTAGTTAGCAGCAACACATAGAGATAGTTGTTTGAGAAGCTGTATAAGTGAGCTTGACTATCTTACTTGAATAGTGAGCTCATAGGCTACAGAGTTATTGTGAGAATATCACAGATATAATACTTAGTATACTAAGAAGATTGTATAAGATACACAGTAACTCTTGTGTATATTCTCATAGAAGTAAAATGAATCACTAGCTTCTTTAATAAGAAGTCAGTATCTAGCTATTCTATATAGACAATGAGCAGATACTCTTCTCTCATTTCATGAGTAAGAATAGCTGAAGTGATATCTCAGCAGTGTCTCATTACTAAGAAAGAGTAATCTGCTGATCTTATATAGAAGTGAGGTTCTCATATTCATCAATCAGATCTTTCTATGATATATTTGAATAATATCATAGAGCAGTTAGAAACCAGTTCAGATGAGATGAAATTATTCACATGAAAGTAATAAGCTGTGTGAAATCACAATGAGATCTTGACATAACTGAGAGTATAATAATACTCTTCTCTTTAAGAGTATAGTTTCTATACTCTCAAGATTACTGAATTAGAAATTATCTTTGTTATATAGTAACAGTTATCAACTGATTGATAGTATATATACTGTATATAATACAAAGAAATAGATGAGTTTTTCTACTAACTGTATAGATCTTTCTTTTTTCATCATCATTCAAATTAAATATGTGATAAGTGAGTTTCTTATATATTAATTTAAAATATGAAAAATATAGTTAATAAGTGACTTACAGATCTCTCAATATATTTTATTCTATATATAAAATTCTCTACAAAAGTGATGTGTTTTAGAGACAAAGCTAACAGTAGTGACAGAATTTTTTAAAAAGATCTTCTTCTTCATGAAACATTTTTCTTCTCTCTCTCTCAATTACAACAGTGAGTGCATGAGAGTATCATTCTTGAAGAATAATCAAAGGCTTATTCTGATGTTTTCTAGTGAGTAATAAACATCTTTGTGATGCAGCGGCAGTCTTCATGATTATCAAGAAAGCCAGGTTGAAGACAGCAGTATCAATGAGCTGCGGGAGCATCACTCTCATCATCACATCTTCTCCTGCTTCTCTTGCAGCTGCGGTGGAAGTTGCTGTGCCCTGCAGTGAGGTGTCATCTCTTCTGCTAGCTGATGTGTCTGTGTTCAGTTCATTCTCTGCCCCTCTCACCGCTGTTGCGACGCCGCCCCCCTCAATCAACATAGTGATATATAACCCCATGTGGTCATTCAGAGAGGACCTCAGAGAGAGCTTGGTTTCAGAGACAGCAGCTCTGAGAAGCTCAATCTGTAGTTTCTCTCTCATGACACACTTGAGCTCTGCTTGAAATGCTGCTGAGTTGAGTCTGCAGAGTTCTGCAGTTTCTTCATCTTCTCTCTGTGAGAAGACTTCAGTGCAGTCTCTGACTAGCACTGTCATCTATCTGCACTGTGCTAAGCAGCTGAAGAAGAGAGGGATTTTATACACTTACTTCTTCTCTCACTCTCATTATTTTCATTGCATCTGTAACAATAACTTCTATCTCTCTGTAAGTATTATTTCACAGAAAGACATTGTATCAGCTCTGATAAGAAGTCTAGATACTCAAGTAGTACAGAGTAAGAGTCTCAGAGCTTCAAGTATTGATAAATTTTATCAAGACTGAGAAGATCTCTCTTACTTATTTATAAAAGAAGATGAAAGTATGAGTCTCTGAGATAAAAAAACATCTTAAAATGACTGATCTTAAGAAGAAGTCAGCTGATGTCACTGTTGAAAGCACTGTGAAGATTAATCACTAATTGAAGAGAATCTCACTTCAATTAGAGTAGATGACTGAGATACTTTGTAAGTTAATAAGTTAATATTTTATATATTTCTTCTGCTCTTCTGCAGCACTGCAGTGCTAACTTCTCAGCAGATAAAGATATCAGTGTCAGAGACTTTAACAGTGAAGAATGAGTTTGATGAGAATGTAGTTATTGATAAGTAGACTCTGAGATTTCCTCTTTTTACTTTTTCAGTGAGCTGTGATCTTACTAGAATAGCAGCAGTCTGTGAATTGATTAATATTAATCTTTTTTATTGATTTTAAATATTTCTTCTCTCTAATCACTTCAGGAATTTTATACTTGTGTAGTCTTATTAAACTTCTAAAAACTCTTTAAAAGAAAATAGAAGAAGAGTGCTACAGAGTCTATAAGATATCAGCTTATCATTATAAGATTATCTCTAAAAAACTCTTTAAGAAAAATAAAAAGTCTTAAGCAGCATTTCTTGCTTAATATCTCTGATATGTAATGAGATGATCTCTACTAGTTATCTCATAGATTGCAATCTCTTTCTCAGCATTTTTCAAATATTTAAGCAGTTCTCATGAATTCTCTGATAATGAATAATCTTTCTATTTAATAAGATATTGAAGCTTATCATAATATATTCACTTATTCAATATTTTCTTTATAAGATATTCAGTATCACTCTCAATCTTAATATTATTCAGCTAAGACAGCTCTGTCTCAGAGCATTGTTTATAGAGCTTCAAATAGAAAATGTGAAAAACAGAATAAATTAATTTCAATTCTGTAAGTAATTTCAACTCATATATCTGCTTATTCATCACTCTTATTATTAGAAAAGATTCTAGTCATCACTCACTGAGCTTCTTACACAGTCTCATTATCTTGATATTCTTTGCTGAAAGTAGTACTTGATTCTCTATTGAGAACTTCATCAGAAAATGTTTTCAATTATAGTATTTTATCTACTACTTCTGAGTATAGTGAATACTTTTCACTGTCTTCTCATGAATTTTATTTAAAAGTTTCAATCTCACTTTTACTTCTGATACTGAGAGATACTTTATTCTCTGTATCTGTTTAATATTCTGACTATCTATTCTCTTCTTTGAAATATTATCTATAACATCACTGAGTAATAAAGAATTATATTCATAATAAGCATAGAAAAAAGATATCTTTAAGATTACATTCTTTACATTGTTATATACAAATTCAGTGATCAGAAGATGTTTGAGTTAATCATTCTAATAATATAAATAGAACACTCAAAGATGCTGTTTTAGTGTCTGATTCTGATATTCAGTCTGATCACCAGTCTGCAGATGAAATGCAGTACTGAGAAGACATCTTATTATAAGATAATAGCAAAAAGCTGATCAGTACTTACTGATAAAGAGAAATTCTTAATCTGTTATCAATGATTTCAGAGCACTGTGATCATGAATAATAATATCTAAAAACAGGTCAGTCAATTCAGAGACTTTAATCTTTTTATAAATAGAGATATATCTAGTCATCTTCATGAAGTAGTTAATAATGATCAAAATTGAGTTATATTCTTTAACTCTTGTTAACTTCAGCAGATTAACTATGAAATTCATTAATAGATTCTGTTATAAGTTCTTTGAAATAAGCAGTAATATTAACTCACTGTATTACTTATACTGCAGAATCTTTATTCTTTAATAGATATTATAAGTCTTAATATACTCTTTGACATCTGTTCAGAGCTTGTTTTAAGTATATTTACATTTTAGAAGCTTTTCAGTCTTCTCTAATCTGAAGTGCTCTGCATGAGAATCATTATAATGAATTCTTAATAACTTCTGACACACTGTTTTGTTACAAGAGATAAAGACTGAACTATTTAGTAGTAGAAGTTCATATTCTTCTAGTTATCAGTGACTTGATTTCTTAGCAGCATCATCTCACTCAGAGCCTGTCTCTTTCAAGTTTAAACTGAATTCTTTCTTCTTCAACTTCTGAATTCAAGCTGCAGTAGAGATGTTCTTCTTCTATAACTTATCAATGAATTCTAAAAGTAGTTGAGTTAAAAGATTATAAATCATTTCATTCTTTGTCAATTCAATGATTGTAAAATATAATATAAGAAGCTTATAATCTTCAGTATCAGTCTCTCACAGAGACCTGAGTTCTCTTTCATCTTCTATACTGAGTCATACAGCTGCCTCTTCAGTGCTGTTTCTGAGCTTTAGAGAATCTCAACTCTCTGCAGCCAGCTTCTTCTGCAGTGATAGCAGAGATTCTTTTATAGAATTCTTCTTCATATTAATAATATTATAATCAGGCTGTCTAGACAGTGTATCAGCAGAATTAAGCTGATCTGAACAGTATCAGATATAGAAATCATACTCTGAAAGCAGCTCTGCTCATCTGGCTTGACATTCTATCAAGCTCTTTGTTATCAAGAAGTAACACAGATTTGCATGATTAGTGAGAACTTACACTGAGTATCTACTACTCTGAAGATAATGTTATCAGATCTTAAAGAATTTGACAATTACTAACATCTTCTGATTATAAGTATTATATCTTCTCTGCATGAGTGATAACTTCTTGAAGAAGAAGATCACTGATCTTTATTCACAGCATCTTATAGACTCTGTGAAAAAGTCTTCTCTTATAGATAATTCATTGTCTGTTTTTTCAGAGATGATTATCTTTTAATTCTTTCAATATTGAAAGATCTTCAGTGTCAACTGTGAAAAGATTTCACAGATCTCATTTCTGAATGCATCAGTCTCACACTGACTGAGTAAGTCAGAGTTAAAGTGATTCAGTATTATAATATCTGTGAAAGCTTGTTTCAATTCTGCAAACACCTGCACAGTGTCTTGAGTGAGAATAAACAGTCTCATTTTCCTGTCTTTCACACTTTTCTTCAACAGATCTGTAAGAGAGACAGTAATTCATGAATATGTATAGATGAATTATCTGTAGAAATTCATAAATTCTAGAAATATCTGCATCTTGTGATATATTCACAGCACTGACCAGTTCTCAATGACAGAGACTCAGCTTCTATTCATTGAAATGTCATTCATCTCAATAATATAATCTAAGAAATCAATCTTCTGCATGTAAAATGAGCATTTTTCAGTGTTTATATAGAATTAATACTATCTTAAGTAACTCAACACTTCTCAAATATGAGTATCATGTTCTTTCTCTGATTTTGAGAAGATTAAAATATTGTTCAGATATACTATGCAGAAGATATTAACAAGATCTCACAGCATCTCATTTATATAGATCTGAAAGATGACTGAAGCATTATAAAGATCAAAAGATAAAACAAGATATTCAAAATTGCTATACTTGGTATAAAAAGTCATTTTTTAAACATTGTCTTCATTAACTCTGATTCTATGATAGACATTCTGTATATCAATCTTCAAGAACATCTTTGCTTCAGATAATTAATTGATCATCTTATCAATTAACAGTAGTGAATAGTAATTCTTAATCATCATCTTATTAAGACCTCTGTAGTCTACACATAGATATAGTCTATCATTCTTCTTAAGTACAAAGAGTATAGACATCTCTGCTGAACTCTTTAATGAATGTATTCAGTTCTTTGATTATACTTCTTCAAGATATTTATGCAGAATATTCAACTTCTTTACAGATAAGTTGTAAAGAAGTCTGTACAGTATCATTGTATCATCTTCAAGATAAATCTTATTGTGATTCAAAGGTTGCTTAAGCCAGCATACGATTACAGGCGTACGCCGGCTTCTTATATTGTAATCTCATACGCTAAATTAATTAGCGTACACTATGGCCCCTTTACACGCGTACGCTAGTAGTTCGGAAGCGGCCGCGTTATTATCTGACAGTCGTACATTCTTCCGAACCACATCCTCCCCCACCAGATTCAGTCACGCCCACGTGACCATGTCATACGCCCTAGCTTCATGTGGATTAGCTCGCCACTAGCGTTTCGCGATCGTGTGGCCTATCCCTGATTCGGCTAGCATCCCGCGTACGCCCTCACAAAGAAACTTCCACTATATTACACCACTCATCCACTAACTTTTCCCATCCTCCAACCATCATCTCCATCATCGTCATCATCGAACGCCACTATCTCATCCAAGATTCCTACCCCTCTTCCTGTCCAACTCTTTCCATCTGTCCACCTATCACATTGTACGTGTTCCTGACAATGGCCCCTCATTCCCACAACAAGTGTCATTGTAGTGCTCATACCGGGCAGTTCATTAGCAGTAAGTGTAACATGTTGTGAAATGTGGTCAGGACTTGTTTATCTTCTAATGATTGCCAGAATGACATATTACCATGAATGATGACACATCTTCTCCATCTTCTTGTACATCCTCAACTGTTTCTTCTTCTCAGCAGGTTTCTGATCATGTTTCCTGGCACAATTTTGTGTGGATGCAGATGCTGATGTTTGTTTTTATTCATGTAGAATCTTCACGTGTTGACAGATCCACGTCCGCCGATGATAGTGAACCCAGTGTTGAATCATTGGTTGAGAACTTGGAGGACGCGATAATGGAGGAATTGCCTGTGTCATGTGTGGCCGGGTCTCCAGCGTCCCCCCCTGCCCCTTCTGCCGCTCCTTCCCCTGCTGCTCCCCCTCAATCTCCTACACTTGCCCCTGTGTCTGGTTCCCCCGCTCCCACTACCCCTGTTCCCGCGACCCCTACTCCCGCTACTCCTGGTTTTGCCACCTCTGCCTTCCTTACCAGCTCTCCCCGTTTCAAGGAGATGTTGCGTAGGCTCAGTGAACCACATTTCCCAGCATGTACACTCCCGCCCTTCTTGCCGACCCCTAGAACAATTTATTGCACAAAGGCTGTGTATGACACAACTATCTGAAGCTCAGTCACAGATGCTGATTATTACATTCATTTTAAATATTTATAATGAGGCAATCATTCATTCATATCAGAGAATCACCCCCCCTCTCAACAGTGTTGAGATTGTAAGTTTTTTTCTTTTTTATCTTTTCTTTCTGATGCTGATTTTCCTGTTCTTAGGGGAAATCATTATGGGTTTTGCTGTGCATGAAGTCATGGTGTTCACAGACATCAAGGAACTTTTTACAACTGTAAAGTTCAACATTGCAGGGACATCTGCTCTGGCAAATTCCTTCAGAATGATAGATCTGTATCAGCCTATTCTCTGATGTCTGTTGTCCGACTTCATGGTGCAGGCAAAAGATATCCATGTTTTCAGAAACAGGAATGCAGATGTTGTACTCTTTTACACCCACGGGTGTGAGGCTCATACACCTTGTCTGAGATGTCATCATGGGAATGAGCCATTTGCATGCTGTGTTCTGCTTCCTGCATTCCCCTGTGTCCCTCTCTCTCTTCCTGAGGAGCCTCATGTGTGTTGTAATTACATGTACAATTCTAAGGCCAGTGAATGTTCATTCAGTAATTGTTATCCCTGTTTTTGCAGTTTTGTATGCTAATAATAGTTCTTAGTTACTCCGGCGCCAGAGGCCATTTTAATCAAAGATGACAATGCCACCGAGACTACCCCCTCTCACCCTCAAGCTCCTCCTGTTGCTTCTTCTCCCTCCCCTGCAGGGAAGGTCGTGCGCACACCAGGTTGTAAGTGTTCAGCCCCGAGTGGCTCTCATCATTCATCCAGTCCTGCATCTTCTCCTCCTTCTGTTTCTTCCACCTCCACCCCCCCTGCCCTGGCTCCTGGTTCTGCGAGTCCCGCGCTCTCCTTCAATTTCTCTACACATACACATGCGCATTCCTATATTGGCATTCCAGTCAATCTTGTGATCAATGACATTAATGTCATACACAGAGTGATAGAGAAATCAGAGGTGTGCACAGCATTGTTGTGAGAGCAGCTTGCAACCCTCAAATCCCTTGCAGACCTCGAGTTTTGAGATTTCCTTTGTTTTTGGCATTTTTCAGGTGGTGTGATGTTGGAAATAGATTAAATGTGTGGTGTATAAAAATAAATGAAGTGTGTATGATAACATTTGTCTTTTGCAGCCAACCCTTACAGTTGGTGACCAATCCATCATTCCTTTTCTTACACTTTTCCTCTATCTGCTAGTCACTACTCTTACACGACCTCTATATGATACAGCATTCAGTGACTAGGTTCAGCAGCTTTCATCTTTTGTGATTCTGCCTCACACATTATACTGTCTCTCTTCACCCACTCAGACCACTACAGCAAACAGCCCATTGAAACTAACCTCACCCAACCTCTGAGCATTCTCAGAGATTGAGATGACTTGGTCCCATGTGTCCGCGGATGTTTCAGATAGTTCATCCTCTGTGATCTCCGCGATTGAACTGGTATAAACAGTTGAATCCAACTCTGAATTCCTTTTTCTTCTGCAACCTGATCCACGTGCAAGTCTGCTGCTTTGAGACTGCCCTTTACCGCGTTGTGCCCACTGTCTGCAGCATGTTATCATACAACCAGCTACAGTCTCATCACTTATTGAAGTGTGATGTTTGTCTGATTTCTTCATTTCTTCTCATTCTTTCCTTGTAATCATGGAAAGATCAGAATAAGTGAGATCATCTAGTTCATAAGCATCTATGATTTCTCTTACTTTGTGAGGCTTTTCAATTGTAAGTCTCTTCTTTTTCAACACTGATAATAGTGCTGTGAATAATCATAATTCACTCAGATCTTGCACCTTTGCTTCCACAAGTCATGAATCATTAATTAAGTTGTGTAAGACCTGTCCCTCTGGTTCTTCCAATGTGTACATTCTCAGAGAATGTGATTTGAGTATCTTATATGACTCAAACCATCTAGATTGAAACTTCTCAGGACTCTCATTGCATACAAGAACCCACATTCTCATCTTGAGACTTGATTCCTTAACAAGTGAGTCTTGTATTCTTTTTGATTGGATTGCTCAGTTCAGGAGTAACTCATTAGCTTTTGTGCGTGCATGGCTGATCTCTTTCAATCTTGGTTCTGTGTCTGTGACTGTTGCATCTGCAACTGCTGTTTCTGCTGTGTCTGCAACTGTTGTTTCTGCTGTGTTCACAACTGCTTCCTCCCCCACCTTTTCCGAAGCATTCTCCGGGATGCGCGGATGCAATTCATACAACAGGTAGAATGATGAATGCTTGGAGACTGCATGCTGTCAAATCTGTGTGGCTAACAGTGCCTGCCCGAGATATTCATTCCATAGTCTCATAGGCTTGCTCACTAGATATTTTGTCAGCATGTTGCCCAAGATTCCATTCAAGTGTTCCATCTTCCTGTTTGTTCACAGATGATATAGTGTTGTTCTATGATGTCTTGTCTGTAACTGGCTCATGAAATGCCTCACTGCTCCTCTCATGAGGTTTGCACTGTTATCAGTTAGAATCTCGCGCGGCATTTCATAGTTGACATAGATCTCATTGTGTAGAAACTTCACTACCATCTCCTCTGTCACCTCTGAAACTGCTTTTGCAACTGGCCAGCCAGTAGCATAATTAATAGCAGTGATTATTCATTGATTTCCATTTGGTGTTCGCGGCAATATGCCTATGAGGTCCACCCCCCATTGTTTAAACAGTTGTATTGTACATTCCACCTGATGTTGTGCTTTCTTGTGTTTCAACCCTTTCTTAGATCCTTTCATGACCTGGCAATTCGGGCACTCATGAGTGTACACCTGGATGTCCTCAGTCATGCTTGGCTAGTATACTCTTGGTTTGAGTACACCCATGAGTCCAGGGCTTCCTAAGTGGCTGAATTCCTTGTGCATATGAGTCATCAAGTCGCGTCTAAATGAAGGTTCTAGATAGGGAGCTTCTGTGTATTCTAGATCGCGGTAAAGCACAACATCATTTTCCAATTTCCTCAGCTTGAAGTTCGGAAGCATCTCTTCTACTATTTTCATGAGATGCTTGTCATCTGACACCTTGCCATTCTTCAAGCAAGAGATTATGATGTTCACTCATTCTGATTCCTTGCATCTCCTCAGCGCGTTTAACATGAACATCTCTTATGCCTGGTTCGCAGGACTCTTATTCATGAAATCGAGTCTGTGACTGATTGCATCTGACATCACTGCATTCAATCCCTTTCAGTATTTGATATGAAGATTGTACACTTGAAACTCTGAGATTCAACATGCTAAACATTTGAAAGGTTTTGTTATTAATTATAGATAGACAAGGCTTTTGTGATCTGTGATCATCATTGTTGTATGCTCATTGTCAATATATCTATCCCACAACATCAGTGCATGCTTGATTGCTAGTAATTTCTTTTCATGCACTGAGTAATTGAGCTCGACGCCTGATAGTTTCCTATCATCATATGTCACCAGGTGCAGCTTGTCATTCTTGCTCATCTGTAGAAGAGCATCTTCAATAGCTTATTCAGATGCATTCATCTCAATGTAGAAAGATTTATCACAATCTGATTGAATAAGCACTGAGGATGTTGTTACACATTTCCTCAGTGTGAGAAAAGCCTCTTCACACATGGTATTTCAGATAATTGAATGAAACTTCTTCTTTTGCAGATTTGCATCTGTTTCTCTTAAGAGATCTGAGAGTGATACAGATATTCATGTGAAATTCTTGATGAATCTGCAGTAGTATGAGATCAACTCAAGAAACTGTCATACATAGTGTACATTCCTTGGCTGTGGCTAATTCACTATGACATTCAATTTCTCTGGGATGAAGTGTATACAGTCATCACTCACTACATGTCTCACAAACTCCAACTCTTTCATTTCAAACACACACTTGGTTGATTTGACATAGAGCTTATGCTCTGTCAGAGTTGTAAGCACTTCATTGAGATGCTTCAGATGTTCATTATATGAGTTTGAAAAGACTAGAATATCATCAAGATATATGAGGCATGAGGTTTCATTCTGTTTATGAAGAATCATATTCATCATTGTTTAAAAGATGACAGGCGCATTTGTCAGACTGAATGACATTGCTAGAAATTCGAACTTCTCTCATTGTGTATTAAATGCAGTTCACAGGACTGACAGTTTGTCTACACAGATCTGCCAGTATTCTGAGAGAAGATTGATCTTCAATAGATATCAGATGTTTTCAACTGTATCCAACTGTTGTTGAATTCATGGCAGTGAATATCCATTCTTGATTGTTAGCTTGTTGAGTGCTCAATAATCAATACACATCTGTCACTCTTCACTCATCTTTTTCATGAATAGGACTGGAAAGCCCCACACACTTGATGAGAGTTGTATGAGACCACATTCTAGAAGATCTGTGATCTGACACTTCTGTTCTTCAAGATGCATTTGTGACAGAGAATACACATTCTGATTGACTGGTTTTACATCTTTCATGTCAATCTCATATACAAATCCTCATTCCAGTGGCAATTCCAGTGAAAGATCTGTTCAGAAGATCTTCTCATACTTCTTCAGAAGCTTCTTCATACACTTATCCTCCCACATATCTTTTATCTTGATTTCCTCCACTTCTGGGTCCTGTATAACATACAGAATGCTTTCAGATGAGGTCTTGTGAATCATTCTCTTTGCTTGTTAATGCATAAGCAGATTTAACCCTTCTATACCAGAGGCGTGAAATGTCCTTCTCATATCAGTTAATAGGATCATATGAACCATTTTCTTCCTATTGATCAACTGTATATGGCATGTACATCATTGAATCTGTGAATTGAACCTTTGAAATCAATCAAGTCTGAGAATGAGGTCATATTTCACATTCTGCAGCTCTCATGCTCAAATATAGCAAGATCATTCTCTGAAGTGCAAGAGAACTCTTACTTTTACAGATAATATCAAATATCAGTTATCAGATAATCTTATGCATCAGAGATTCTTCACTCAGTGAACCTCTTTCAATCTTCAGATTATATGATCATCAATATATTGCATTGAAGCTCCTGTGTCCACTAACACTTTTACAGCCATCTCTCAATTCTTACTCAAGTGCCCCTTATACATTAACATTTCAGGCCTCAAGGCATTGAGATGAGTGTTCACTTCATTCTCACCTGCACCTCAGTCAGAAGCCTGCTTCTTCTTTGCATTTGCAGGATTCAGAGAGTCATCTAACACAGGCATCTCTTTCACTTTGAAGACTTTTCATAGAATATCAGTGAGTGCCTCTGAGCTCACTGATCCTGCTAGTTTTTTAACTGCATATACTGAGTGCAATCTTTTGCACCATGATT